CAAAATACAGGCTTTTGTGAAAAGAAATACTTGTGTCAGTCCCACGTTCACCAGAGAAGCAAATGGATGACATCTCCGGAGCAAAGCTAATAATCTGAACAACCCAGCAACCCCACGGCACATGAACTGCCCTTGCCTCAAATCTCAGGAGAGGGGATCCTTGCTACCAGTAGGGTAGGTACCTTGAGAGAGGAGTGCAATAAAAGTCTTGTGTAATAAAAAGCTGTTTCCCCCTACATTGTCTTCTGAAGCAAGGGAAATTTTAATTTTGGGAGACATAGATTGCTTTTTAGTATAGTAAATCCAAGTACCTGACTGAGGTCTACAATGACACTCTGCATCTGAGCAGTCTGGGATGCAGTCGAAAGATAGATTTAAAAGAAAATATTAAATTTGACTTTACAATACTCCATATGCACATTACTGCTAAAATTTTTTTAAAGTTGGTGCACATCATTATTGCAATTAGAAATTTTGTATTACAGCTGCATTTACAGCTCCAAAGATAATATTTAGTAAGTAGAACTATAAAGTGATGCACAGAAACAGAAGGAAAAAAAAATGGCATCAGTGTTTCAGAAAAAGGTAGCTGTAAATCTGCAGTGAAGTCAGGGATAGATTTTACAAGGGCTATTCCTTCTTGGCTAAACCTCCTCTCCTATGGGTAATATTGTGCCTTTTTCATTGAATGCATATCTTTACCTTCAAAAAGAGAATCTGGAAAATGCTGCCTTTCTGACTGCTGTGATGCAACATACTTAATAGTACATATACATAGCAGAAAGCAATCTGATTTTGTGGTTGATAGTAAACTTACCTACTTCTGCTAAAGTAAGTCCATTTCTAATAGATTAAAGAACAGATTAAGGTAATTTATTACTTAAACAGAAGATAGCATTTATAGACACTTCAAAATTCAAAGTAATTTTCTCCAAACTCATATATTTTAAAGGAAGTTAGTGAGAAATACCTCCATACATTTTTTTTCCCCACTTTCTCAGACTCGTTAGTGTTAGGCAAATTCACAACTTGTGGTAGTATTGTTGTTCTTGCTGTGGCTGTCATGTTTTTTTGGTATTTTGTGGAGAGTCCAAAAGTCAGGTACCAGTTTCTCACACTGAGAAAGTGCATTCAATCTGTTTAACCAATACAAACCTATAAAAACCTCCACATGCAGGAATTTATGTGTATATGAGGCTACAAATGTCATACTAATATGTTATTAATATATATACTAATATATTCAATTTTTAAATGTTTAATTAATTTTTTATAAGACACAAATAAAACAATAGAGATATAAGTTTAATTTTTATTCAGTTTAATTTTTTTTTCATAAGAATGCATTAGTTGCTTAACTTAATATTTGTAATTTCCAGGATGGAAGGGGAGGAGTTGTCTCAGGAATAAGTTCCCAGTTGTTGTAGATATCATTGGAGTGCGCAAAGTACACACCACAGCACAAATATGAAAGTGCTTTGTGCCAGATGGAGTATGTAAACTAAGCTGAAAGGCAAAACCTCAGCCAGGCAAAGACTCAGCCTTGGAGACAAAGAACATCAACATTTCCTTAAATCCCGTCAATTATAAAAGTTATTGATAGTCTCATTTGAAGTGCCTTGCTTGGAAATTCAGGTATAAAACAGAAGAAATATCTTGGTAGACAGAAAAATTCAATGCGTGAAAGCAACCTCTGCTTAACTTAGCTTTCAGAATTTGTAAATAAATTTAGCTATTTAAACTATGTCTCATGTTATGTTGATTCTCCGCTTTCATAATAAATCCTGCCCCTCAAGGATATCTGTATCCAAAGTACCTATGCCGTAATGTAGACTATAATAGCCCTCTGTGTTAGGAGGAACAGGGACAGAAATAGATACTGTATGACTAAATGCTGATTGACAGTTCCTTCACATGCTCAACTCTTCTCAAACAAAACTGCAATAAAAAGACTTTGTATCACACTACTCAAGAGATAGTAAAATGTGTAAACAACTGTAACCCTGTGGAAGAAAAAATATACTTTATTATTATCATGACACGCTGAAACATTATTTTTCAAATACATTAGCCAGAGATCAAATTATTCAGTGTTTAATGAGAAAGGAAGTGTTCCTTCTCAATTACCCATTAAAATGCTATTTCTAACAAAAAAAAAAAATCACATGGAAGACTGTTACTATGTAAATACTTAAAGGAAAATATTTTCATGGCATGTGAGAAAGAAACAAGAGGAAAACAGTAGAAAGACGGTGACTGAAACGTCTGCCAGGTACATATCCAAGACAGCTTAAAAGCCCTTATGAAATGAAACCTAGCTTTTGAAGCTGTCAGAGTTTACCACCTTGATACATTATTGTACAAGTCTGAAGCATTCCTTGACAGAAGAACTTTTATAAAGAGCAGCTGAGACACTAGGAAAAGCATAGGGAGCCTCTCTCACAAAATAATGGTTTATAATCACACACATGATAAAGAAATGTATCATCTCAGTGACTGACAGACACTCGTAAGTGCACAGGCAAGACAACTGGAGCCACCCCAACAACTGGCTCTCAAGGCTGGCAAAAGACCTATCAACATTTCTGTCAGAAATAAGACCATTTACAAATTGGTGCCCCAATTCTCTCTAACCCCTGCCCTATCTGCTTCCTGTATTGCGTTGTCTTGTGTTAAAGCCTAAAAAATAAGTATTAGGTGAAAACTTCCAGTCTATTAGAGAGCTTTAAATGAAGGCTGAAAAGATCTTAAAACATAAAATAATTTAAACAACTAAAAATAAAAGAATAATAGTTTGGGGGTTTTTTTTTGTCCATAGGCAACAGCATGTTTTTCTTGAAGAATAAAAGGCCCAAGAACAAATAGAAAAAAACCCTAGATAGTTCATGTAACTGGGAATATTATATGAATGCTTTTTAAGAGCTCAGTAAGATCGTTATCAATAACACTGCAAGGTAATCTTTGAGGAGCATATAAATAGAAGGGGAGCCTTTAAGTGCAAAAAGAATGAAACATGCAAAACTTCTAAAAAGAAGGTAATAAAATAATTACATTTCCTATAAATGAGCATGCAGGTAGATAATAACTGGACAAATGGGCAAAACAAAACCTTACTAAGGAACATAAAAATTAAAAAACATCCTGCTCCTTTAACAAATTGAAGACAGTTCCTTGGTACAGAAAACTTTTGGTCTGACCAGATGCAACCACTTAAGATCAGCAGCAGGACTAGGTAAATAAATCTGAAAATGTTACCAAAGATCCTAAATATGGATTAAGCCAGCCATATATTCCCAAGTATAGTTACAAAAAAACCCCAAAAACCAAAAAACAAAACAGAAAAAAACCAAACCAAACCAACAAAAAAAAAAAAAAGAAAAAAAACACCCCTAAAAAACAAACAAACAAACAAAAAAAACCCACTAAAAAATAAACAACCAAACAAGGCATTTTATTTTACCTCCATTGCGATTGTTTCTGTATTTATTATTAGACCCAAAATTTCCATGTTTGACTTATGATGCTTCTCTTGAGAAATCAATTTTAGCATTACTCCAGTAGAAATTATGTTGCCCTCCAGGGAGATGAGAATCAGTAGGTAAAGGCTCAGGTCTCTTCTCACCAAAGACTCTAACCATGTTTCATGACTAAATTTGTGGTAATTAGAAATAATTTACTAAATTTAGTAGCTCATGCCTCTAATACCAACTACTTCTGAAGCTGTGGCAAGTGGAACACAATCTCACCATTCCCCACTCCATCAAATTCGGTGGAATTTGAGTTTAGGTTAGAGTTTTGTGAAGTTGGTACACACAGGGCCAGGAAGGGCTCTACAGTCATAAGGGTGAAAGTGTAAGCAAAGATAGAGCAAGATAGAAGCTAATTATCAGCTACTGTCAATTATCCTTCATTATTTTCTCCTATTATCTGTTGTGTGATTTTCCAAATGGCATTCTCTTGATCAAAGTAGACACCTTTCAACCATGTAAGGACATGCACTCAAACCCTAGAGCAGCAAATAAATCATAACAATCTAAAAAGTAACTGAAAAATCAGACAAAATTCAGACTAAAACAACCTGTGCTTTCACCTATGACATTATTCAAGTATTACCTAGATGTACTTGAAAACAAAGTTCCTTTGTACCATTTAATAACCTGACAACATAATCTCACCTACCCAATCTTGGAGCACATCATCTACTGCTTCTTAAACAATCATGTAATAGAGCTATCATGTATGCAGGTTTTATGAATACACAATTCAAACCCTCTAAGATTTATACTCAGCATTATTTTTCAGAATTACAGCTCACCAAACAGGTCCAAACACGAGCTGCCGACCCTTAGGCTTCCAAAAGGCATGAATCATGTTGTAGAAGAGTTCTCAACTTTACAGGAAAATTATTCAGTTTGGCAAGTACATAACCTAGTGCATGCACAGTTGGTATAGTGCATCTGGAACATATATAATCCTCCCTGTATTTGCATACACCTATTTTAGAGCAGGATAATTAACACCTCAGATATTCCTGAATAAGTAGGGCTTCAGAAACAGTTTTGCATCTTACTCTACAACAGTCTCAGGGCTGTTTGAAATGCATAGGTAAATAGGAGTCTAATCCTGAACTCCTCAACATGTAACATTGTTTCAGCAAGATAAAGTAGTACTCACAAAGGAAACAAACCAATTTTCTTTAAATTAAGCTAACCAAGTTAGTTACACAGATCATCCAGATTCACTTCTACTTACTTCTTACCTGAACCACACATCCAGCTAGAAAGAAATTGCTTATTTTGAGCAACCAAATGCACCATCACTTAACAGAACTTGGCGTTGAAGGAAACATGAGAATTTATTCCACATGGAATGGGACTGAATATGCAGTGCATAGGTGATAAGGCACTGCTGCCAAGTACCAAAAGTAGCCTAGGGATTAAAGTTGGGGTGAAAATATGCAAAAATCAACACAAGAAGGCCAATTATAAATGCAAGAAATGCTCTTTAGTTCCAGTTTAATTGATAATCAGCCTGGAAGTTACAACATGTTCTCTCCAGAGAGGGAAGAATCTGACCAAAGGGAACATAAACATTATTCTCAAGCAGTAAGACAGCAGGTGGGTAAGTAATCTTGCAACTGATATTTCAAATTAATTTCTGTAGAAATTACATAAATCAGGGTATTAACTCAAATATTTGTCACATATTTGCTAAATATCAATGCATAAAGAAGAACTTCCGGTGAAGATCTAAATCCTAAAATTTCTCCATTAGTTGAAATTGCTTACATTTCTCCATTAGTTGAAAAATCTTACAAGCTTTTTTCAGGTATACAAGTTTTTCCTCTCTTGAAGAGGCTGACCAGATCCCAACATCCTGTACAACACTGCTGATGCAAAGTACACCTAGCAGATCATCACAATGAGGAAAATCATCCAGTGGCCCAGAACCAATTTATCACTTTTCTTTCCAAAGCATTTTCAACTATGTGCATGGGGTTGGAGCTTGTACTAGGTGACTCCTCTGGCAGATGTCTGGTCTAAGGTCAGCACAAAACCTCCTTCTTCAGTTTCATTTTTCACTCGCTGTGTGTAACAAAAGAAGAGCTAGAGTTAGCATTTTAAGGGACTTTTGAAAACATGGTATTGGAAAGCTGAAAGAAATCATTAGCACTGATTCAGTGCTTCCTAAAACTAATCTTATATATATATATATATATATATATATATATATATATATATATATTTGTTTTCACAATGAGTGCTTTAATCCTTCATCTTAAAACTAAGCAAAACCCCAAAACAAAAAAAGCCCAGCACTGATGAGCAATCTTGCAATAGCGAATCAGTGTGCACACATGAGGGAAAAACAAATGCAGTTGGGAAACAGATTTCGGTGTCAAGTTTCCCCAAGTGTTGTTATAAATATCAGGAAATTAAAAAATGCTCTTAAAATGCATGAACATTATTTAGGTCTTTAATCTGGAAGGGGCATGATTGATTTTGCAGGGTGGAAACTGCCAACTGTACCAGTGCCTGCAGATGGAAGGGGCCGGCACATAGCTGCCAATTTCAGGGAATATATTTCAACTACTCTCTAAAATGGATTGCAAAAGCTTGTTGTCTTCTGCTTGCTCCTCCAGGCTCATGCTGCACTAAACAGCTTAGGGGGAGAACAGCATCAGTCTTTTCCTGAAACAAGAACAAGTCACAGAACACGGCTATTTTAGAAATGCCAAAAAATTAAAAACCTAAACCTCTGAGAGCAATAGTGCCACAAGCTGAATGGGAAATAATAGACAACTCAAATTTAAGTCTTACTATTCACACAGTGGCCATTTTGAACAACAGTGAGAAGAAAACTGACCTTTAAATGTAAAGTTCACTTTTACATCCTTATAAATTATCATACAAGGAACAACATTTTCTGGAAGCACAACTTCACAGTGTGAAACACATTCTTGAAGTTCCTCTTGCACTGTTAGAAAACAGTAAAATATGAAAACGAATAAGTAGACCAATTTTTCAAATTAGACCACATTTAAATACAAATTTTCTTAAATCTCAGCTTCCTCACTTTCCTAAATGTCTCAGATTTGAAAATCTGGTTTCTGAGAAAACATTTTGGATGGAAAACTTTAGACTATCAGAGCTGATAGCTGATGGTCTCCAAAGCTTCTCATACAGCCATTATGTCAGTGTAGAGAGGATAATTTATTTTTTCCCCAAGTAACAATCTTGGCTTTTTTTTCTCCTTTCAGTTGGGTAGTAATGCACATCTCTTCCAAATTTTTGTTTTAGCTCTTCTCCTATACTGAAAAAATACTATCCAGTAACAAAAGGAAATTAAGTAGTGCAAAGCCATCTTTCTAAACCATTTTCTACAGTTTTGTTCTTTCAAAGATTATCTGTTCTCTTTCCTTCTACTTTGCACTGGAAACTGTGCTTATGCCAGCACCTTGTTAAACTGATTGCTGAGTCTTTTCCTCTGGAATTTAGCACCACTACAGCAGGTTAGCAACAGAGGCTGTCTCAAATGTCTTGTGTTAAGGACAGATCTGAAAAGTTATCTGCACTGTGGAGTAAAGCTGTTTTGCTGGCAGCAAGAATACTAGAATGGATATAAAGTGTCTTGAGGAAAATTGTCTTTAGGACTGCATCCCATTAAAGACATTTGAGTGGAATTTTGTCCCACTGGTTCCAGCAGGGGCAGAACATCATTACTGCTTTAGTTCTACTGGTATAATAAGTATCTACATATGTGACATCAAAATAACTAATTCTCCCCCTTGTAGGGATTCTTCCTCTATAATATTTTTATTTATCTGCAGATGTCATTTGCAGACGCTTGTGCCACTACAGAAATTGCTTGTTCATATTCTTCCCCAGTACATAAGACAAAGCAAGGTGTAAGCTAAGCCCTTTGCTGTCTTTCTAAAACACGCCTTTCATGCTCACTGCAGGTTTGTGAGATATACTCTAACATCATTTGTTACATATTTCATACTGCAATGCCATGCTTGATTACATCAATCTATACAAAACAGAAACTGGCAGCCAGTCTCCCAATTTCTGCCAACTGTAAAGGTTAACATGTACGTTGGCATAATGTGGGTGTGTAAATAAGGGAATTTGTGTAGTCCTTTATTTAGCAATGTAAGAAAACATATTTCAGGTCGGAGATGAATAGTTTTCCTTCCCTCCAGGTGTCTATTTTCTATTTTGGAAATTTCAAGGAAGGGATTAAACATGCACAAGCACTACTTAGCAACAAAACACTAAGGAACCATACTGTGTGTACTATAACTTCATTTCATAAGACTATCATCACAAACTGCCAGTATTTCATCACTGCCAAGATGTCTTTGGAGAGAGACAGGAGAAGTCAAGGAAGTGGCTCTCAAGACACCCCCAATAAGCTCTCTGCCATCACTCAAGCCTCCCATAAGGCAAGTTCACCATTCCCAAGGATAATTAACAAATTTACTTCTAGACCAACAACCTTTAAGAAAAAAAATATTTGCCCAATCGAGCAGGTTTATGGTTACAATTTTTCACCTTTAGAAGTTCTTACTATTGGAAAAGTAAAGACATAAATCAGTAACTGTCTTAATCAAATACTGTCCTTATAAAACAAAGCTATATGTGTTTTTATACTTGTAAACTAAATATTTTCCAATCTGATGCAGAAATCCAGAGTAAATTAATCTAAGGTAGCGGATATTTCTCTTGATATTTTATTCTGGAATTGCACTAAACAACTAAACTGTTTGGCATGAATAAGCAGTCATTTAACAGTAAGAATGAAAATTAATTACTTGATATACCTGTATCTGTTTGTTTAGTTTATGATTTCTGCAGCAATTTGCAGTGATGACTAATAAACAAAACATTCAAATAAAGATCCACGCATTTTAAGCTATAACAGTACCATATTTGCCATCCTTCTATATATACTTTACTGCCTTCCATGAATTATAAACTACTGCAATGGATTCCTCTGCAAAACAATTAGAAAACAAAGAAATGACAAGTCATATGAAATGCAGACCGTGGTCAGAAGGTAGGTGCTTTTGAAGACCCTAGTCTCCTTAGTCTCCAGGATGAGATGTCAGAGCAGAAGGGAAAATGTAAAAGTTTGCAGCACTCATTAGAGGTGGCATGAAGGTGATCACACCTTTACCTGTGTAATGGCTTAAACATTAAAGGAGTACTAGTCCAAAAGAAAGGCACTGTCTATATACTCAGAAAAGTACCTGCAATAATTGACAGCTCTTATGCATAATCACCTCTGCTTAAATATGGAACACTGGTTCAAAACATTCCCTGTTAAGAATCAACAGCCTAGAGAAACAGAAAATACAAAATTGGAGCTTCACAGAAAAGTTCTACCTACATCTACAGCTCCACCTTTAGCAAAAATTACCAAGCAAAAATAAGCTTTCTGTTTAATCAGCTATGAATCCATTGACAATATTTTTGTTCTGTTTTTCTGCTGTGATTGCAACATAACGGTCAAACACTGAAAGGTATATATTCTTAAAGAAAATGTGATGAACACAAAAGAAACCTGTATCACTTTAAAATGGATAACCTGTGGCTGCATATCGTTACCAGAACTGACACAAGCTGCACACATACCCAGTACATACCCTTACAAAGTGAAATGTATTTGAGTCTGGTGTACTTACAACTGTCTTTAGATAAAAAGGGTAAAATTTGTAGAAGGCAATTATAGAATCAAAGAAGCAGAGCAATAATGTGAAAGATTTTATCTTGAAAATGTTGGATGAATGTTATGAAGTATTCTCCAAACAAAATGGCCAGCTGGAGATTTTGAATGGAAAGTATAAGTTATATGGTTTAGGTATAGCTGCAGAGCATAGATAATTTTTCTTATATTCTGAAGTGTGATGCCAAAGAAAAAAGATTTTCTGATGTGACTAATAAAAACAAAAGCTGAAGTGCAACAGGAAAAATTGTGATTAGATAAAAAGAAAAGATTTGTGATGGGATTGCCAGAGTTACTTATTGAAGAATTACTTAAGAAGTACTTATTGAAGACACTTGTAAGTACAAACAACAATATTCCAGTATGCTTACATTGGGCCGGAGTAAAAAAACCATTTAGATTGAAGGTTCTAGTGATAAGAAAACATGAGAAAATGCCACCATCTGATCAACACTTAATTAATTTCAGTAAATATGAAGCTATTTTAGTATGTCAGAATATGAATATACTGCAATTATTTTTTTTCTTCTTCAGGGTAAGACTAATTTCTTGAGGAGAAATTATGCTCATCTTTACATATACTACTGCGAAATTAATAATTAAAACCTACATCAGAGATTAAGCTAGGGTGTGCTAAACAGATTCTTAAAAATGTTTAAGAATTATTGTATTTTCTATTGTGAATATAAGCAGATAGATAGACTAAACCTTTTCATGGTAGGAAAGTCAGTTAACTAAATGGTATTTGTAAAGATCAGCTCAGAAACTGCAAGTACTGCAACTGCATATTTGCACAGTGCATACCAGAGTGGACCCTAATATCACCTGCAGCCTCTAAACACTACTGTACTATTGCTCTTAATAGTAATAACAACAACATTCATCTTATTGGATACAGCAGTTCCTATTTTTGTATTCACAGTAAAGCTTTAAAAATTTTCAAGGCACTTTCAGAGGTACTTTTTCTTAAAGATAAAAAAAATCCCAAGTGTTTAACTATAATCACTATTGGGAAAATACATTAGTAATGTACACTTTAGAGCACTTCTGAAAAGCTACACTCCTAATACCAGGTAAATGATATATGTTTTAGAAACACTTATGAATGCCTATTCACTTATTAGTCTGGCATGGCCTCAAAACAGTATTGGCTAAACAATAGTGCTTCCATCATGGTTTTGTGTATGGTCAATGAAGTAAATAATATGCATTTTTTTAAAACGCTTGAATGGGTGCTTACACAGCAGTTTATTCAGACCCATTATGGACATCCAAGCAAATAAATGTTCCAAAGTCCATAACTATATATTTCGTAAATACAGCGCTGCTAGTTTCTACAGAACAAATAATAGGCACTGTAACAATACCACATGCACAGGGGTTTATCCAACAATGTACTTTGCCACAAAACAGATCTCACAACTTCTTGCTGGCTTTTTCCCCTGCCCCCATAATTTCTTTGTTTTGTTTTTAAAGAAAGGTGCTAAAGGGGAGAACATTGCCTTTCAAGAAGCTGTTACACTTTGACAATACACAATCATTATGAGAAATAACAACATGTAAGGGAATTTTTTCTTGAGAATCCCTGTAAAATCCCTGTAGGCCCTTTTTTGATCTCACCATCTTACTTTGACCACCAGCTGACTTAGATGAACTCTGCAGTTGAGAACCACAGTTTTACCTTAATGGCATTTGCTGCTCCGAGTAATTGCTCAGTAGAAATTCTACTGAGGGAAGGGTTTTGTATCTGAGTACAAATACCCATGGAGAGCAAGTTCTTTAATAATCTGATGCATAGCTAGATGTGGGCAAGAGCTTGCCTTTTGCAGCCATCCTGAAAGCTCTTTAACCTTTATTCTTCTTTCATTCATGTTTTAGGAATGCTAACAGGACGAATGATACCTTAGGGAAGAAACAAATAACCTCTGATCAGAATTGCAGATAGATAAAGGGATAAGATTAGAATCTTGTATCTGTTTTGTAAGAAGCTGGGAGCCATTAAAGGAGGACAAAAAACTGATTTTGGCTACAGTGTCCGTGCCACAGTGACAAAAAAATGTCCCAATTAATTCTTCACAGACCTTGAAGTGAATAAAAGACATGGATAGAAGGGAACAAAAAAGGGGAAGAGCGCCTAATCAAGAAGAGTTCTTCAAAAAAAGCCCAAGACAACAATAAGTTAGAATTTTTTTGAGTGTATCAGGATATCCCATAGATATTTAAGATAGGCTTTAAATAGTCA